TGAATTCGATTTACTAACCGCGTGCTTGCATGCTAAGTCTCTTTATTTCAGGTGGTGGGTTTTCGGTTCTCTCTTAATTCCTTCCTTTCTCATATAAATGTCTAGTGGGCCATGAGCTAGGTCCTTTGGGGCCACTACAGAAGCGACGACGGGTCCTGCAGAGAATTACGGCGAGCCGGCGCAGCGTTTGTAGGCACGCTGAATTCGATTTACTAACCGCGTGCTTGCATGCTAAGTCTCTTTATTTCAGGTGGTGGGTTTACAGTTTTTACCTTACTGCTTTTCTTTCTCATATAAATATCTCCCTGTACTCTATTCCATTAACTTGCACACATTGCTTCAGCCAATTGTATTCGATTTCCATAACATTTTTGTGTTCGTGGCATACCGTGAACTATACTTCCTGACCTCGTGCACTTAGCTAGGATGTGTTTGTAAACAACTTATTACGTATGCTATTTAATTAAGGTTTATGTCACCGTTTCCTTATGCATTAATCGAGTTTTTCTCTTTTTCTTTCTCTCTCTCAAGTGATTGGCTGTTGTTTGATATCCCCGGTGTGGCTGCGCTTGATGTGCATGTTGACAAGGTGCCTACCTGTCTATTACCCACTACCTCGTCCATACTGGCTCCAGGAGACAGATGGCCGTTGCTGGAGGGGACGGGGTGTACGGTCCTTGTGGCCGTGTTAGGCTCGAAGAGTGGTTCCATGCACTCAGTGTGGAGCGGACTACGGTCCAGCCACCGCCTTGTGTGCGCTTGATTCCCCAAATACAGTGTACTTGTGTTTGCCTGTGAAGGAGTGTGGGCCGGCTCCGTTGATGAAACGTGGCTCCCATCCACATGCCTCCCGGTCTTATTCCTTCGGGTTTACACTGGATATGGGGTGTGTGGTTGGAGCTGTGGGTGGTGCAGCGCAAGCCATCCATGGTCCCTCTGTAGGCGCAGGCGTCCTGTGGCTTGCCACAGTGACAAGCAAATCCGAAACCGGATGCCGCCAACCATATTACCGGGTTAACACTGGATATGAGTGTGTGGTTGGAGCTGTGGGTGGTGCAGCGCAAGCCACCCGTGGTCCCTCTATGGGCGCAGGCGTCCTGTGGCTTGCCACAGTGACAGGCAAATCCGAATCCGGATTCCCCTAACCATATTACCGGTGAATTGTGTGACATTGTCAAGTACAGCTGTCTCAGGACAGCCGAATCTGCTGAAGGTTTGGCGCAGTTTTGATACAGTTGCATTAGTGGTTGTGCTTCCATGAGAAATACTTCAGGCCACTTGCTGGATGAGTCGACTATAATAAGGGAACTTCTGTCGTTGATCGGTCCTGCAAAGTCGACATGGATGCTGCCCCATGGCTTAGTAGCGTTTGGTCATGAATATAGTTCTGACTTTCTTGGTGCTTTCAAGACCTTCGCGCACTTTTGGCAGCGTTTAGCTATTTCTTCTAGCTGTTTGTCCATGAAGGGCCAATATACCTAACTGCGGGCAAGCACCTTCATCCGGTTGATCCCAGAATGTCCGGGGTGGAACTGCTGAATAAGGCGTTCCTGAAGTGCCTTGGGGATGATCGCTCTTTCCAAGAGTAGTATGTAGCCGTTCACAATAGAGAGCGAGTGTCTCCTCTGGTAGTACTGTTGCAACTCGGTAGATGGACATAAAAGTGGTCAACTTGTTTTGTGGAACTGTGTAACTTTCTTGAGTATTGGGTCCCGAAGCGTTTCGTTTCGTACAGCTTCTGCGGTAACTGATAGACCATGAAATGCATCAGTTACCAGATAGTTGACGTCAAGTTCGAGCTCGATTGAGGCAATGGTTGTGTCCT